GTTTCAACAAAAAGAAAGAAAAGAAAGTCCTCCTTTCATTCCGACCCGCCCCCCCTCGCACCGTCTCGCGTGTTCCTAGAAGCAAGGCATCCGTTTGCTATGCCGTCTGCTTGCGTAATGCTCCGGTCGTCGCTACGGATTTCAGAACATGAGTTCGTTGTACTGAGGCGTTGTTAGTATAATGCAGAACTAAATTAGTGCTCGTTATTCTGAAAAGTTAGGTATTCTGAAGTACGTAGTAGTGAAATAATTTTACATTGAAACAACTACTAGTCGGTGCAGGATTTTTTTAAAGTTTGTGAATCTGAAAAGTTTGTTATTGTGGGGTTCCTTCTACCGAGATTTGATTGTAGTAATTCAAATATTCATACAAGCATTTAGGGGGGAAGAGGCACTTAGCCATCAGGCGTCTTATTATTTAAGCTAGGGTGAAGAAAACTTATGAGATGGTGTATTTACATGTGAAGATGTCAAACATTAACTCAGTTTTTATGTATCTCTTACTGTTGTGCTTTTAATTAGCCATTAATTAAAATGTTTTTTGATCCCCTTATGAGTAAATTGGCTGTACTGATCTTGCTAAATTAAATGTCATTGCATTCTACAATTACCAAAGAGTGCAAAAAGCAAGTTTCATGGCTCTAGCTTTCCTAAAACAAAAGTTATGAAGCTTAGAAGTTCATCTTTCAATTATCAAGGAAAGATAAATTTTGTATTTTATTTTTTTCTAAAAATTTATGGCATCCTATAGTTGCATTTGGCACTTTATTGCACTCACTAAGCATTCAGCTTCTCAAAAAGACAAAAATTATCTCAAATTCTAGAGTACCAAAGCTGAAAAGTGCTTGTCAGAAGAATGAAAGGTGGCCAAAAAACTAAAACTAAGAAAATGGCAAAAAACAAAGCTCTGTATAATCAAGGAATTCTACACAAACAAAAATGCTTCTCTTTGCATATAAATGCCTCAGAAAGCACCAGGGCAGTAGTCTTTGTCGCACTTTTGTCGCTGCTGCCACTTTGCTTGTTGCAGGAACCTGGAAGTTGCTGAACGCTTTCGCTTGGCACTCATGATCCGACGAAAATTTTTCTCTTCTGCCCGTCGCTCCCTCATGGAGTTTTGCTTTAGCTGAAGTTCTTTGAGAATACGTGTGGAGGCTTCTTTCATTCCTGAATGGAAGCGCATCATGGCCTCAGCAACTGCAGTCTCAACAGCTATGAGTGAAGCATGCTTCTTTTTAGGCATTAGAGACCATATGACGGAATGGAGTGCCCCGTTTTGCATTTCGTGTCTTGCCTCTGTAGTAGCGTTTTAGCAGCTCCTTGTCACCAAGTCGCTCGTAGACTGGAAGTAGTGCATCACGTACATTTTGTGGGAAGTTGTAGGTGTGTTTTGGCAGCAGTTCTCCCTTTACAGCAGCAGCATTCTGCTTGCACCATGAGTCACTGCCACTTGGGCACAAAATGTGGTTGGACCTTTCATCAGTCGATGTCACATGATAATATGTGGCCATGGCTGCCCGGTGCATTGCATCTACGTCACTAGCATTGGACTTCAGAGCCCAGCAATGTATCTCAAAAATTTCTCTATGACATCACCTGTCAAGCGACCTCTTCCACTTTGTGTTTCGCCAGAACCTTTATGCTTATGAACAAGATTGCGTAGTGCGGTACCCATTCGTTTTTGGACATGGTTTATACAGTTCTCTTTTTGAACCTGTATGAAACGATAAACTGTCAAGTCTTCAACAGCACGAAAGGATCTACTGTCCCCATCACACAGCATCACTGTGTATCGCAAGCCATGACGGGAAATTGAGCGCTCAAAGAAAGTGACTGCTGCCTTCAATTCCATGTGCCCTGATTTGCACAGTGTATTTTTCTAGCAGATGTGCATTGACTCCCAAACCAAGTAATTTGGGTGCTCTTTTAGTGGTGCGCACTTGCAGCCGGTACAAAAATTTGGCAGGACACCATAGTCTAAAACATAGCCAAAAAACAGCTCTATAACAACACCAACACCAATGTGTGACAGGTGGCATCTGGTCATCCATGTGCCATCATAACAGATGGCCACATTACCTGGGTTGTCAAAGCACAGATCTTGGTATAATGTTTTCACTGACATTGCGCAATCAGAGAGAACTTTGTCTGCAGCTCTTGCTGCCACAGAATTCAGTTTATTTTTCAAATGGTTCTGATAGATTTTGTGGTGAAGTCCCCTGTGAGAAATTCCCATGACAGAGAAGATATCGTTTAGGGCTGCCTGGCCATTCCCTGTGCTTTGCACAGCACAAGACGCATGGATATTCACTTCAAATGCAGCGCATTTAGCCTGACTGGGTACCCTGCCAGAGCTCCACTCACTGTCATCAAGTCCACTGTTGCGGCACTCTGAAATCAGTTTCATCGCAAGTCCATATTCACGTTCACCTTTTTCAATAGAAATGGTCCCACTGCATGTCCGGCATTTAGCCGTTCTTTCAAGAAGCTTGTTTATCGCGGATAAGTCGACGATCTCGTAGGTAGCCATCGACGGGTCTGAGTCTTTGCGCGCTGTCGTGAGCGATAAGCTGCTGATCTTATCAGCACTCACTTTCTGCTGTCGTGCACGATAGGCGCTCGTTGAAAAGGTTGTATCTTTCCTTATGCGCTGCCTATCGCCGACGTCGTCCGAGGAAACGGGCAGAGATGTCGGCGTTTCATCCGTTTCATCATGTCCTGTACTAGGTGCGCGTAGGATATACTCACGCCATTATATCATTCTGCCGTCGATTTTTTGCAATTTTTTCCAAACTTGTGAGCGGTGCGAAACTTGCGATAAGGCTTCGATGCAAGGTTCAAGCCAGTTTCAAAACGAGGCCGAGAGCATAGGCCTAACGCACTGGCCTGATGGCTGCGGCGCGCTACGTCGGGCTGGTTCGGCGGCAAGCCTGAATGTGCAGACTAGAGAAACGCTTGCTCCAATTTCTCGCTAGCTCGTGCGGGTTCAGGAAGCCGACGAGAATAATGACATGTGAGCGAGATACACTCGCCGCCTCACGTGCGCTCTACTGCCGCACGCAGCAGACAGCTCGAGAAAGCGCGGCCGAGAGCGTAGGCCTACCGCACTGTCCTGGCGGCTGCGGTGGGCTTCGTCGAGCTCGTTCAGCGCCGTACCAGTATACCGTCCAACGTAGAGACTCTACAGAGATGCTTGCTCTAATTTCCCGCTAGTTCACGCGAGTTCAGGAAGTCAACAAGATCAAAGTAACATACACTCACCACTTCGCGTGTGCTCCGCTGCCGCACGCAGCAGACAGCTCAGGAGGCCCGGCGCATCGGAAGGCGCGATTTAGTCACGTGTGCTCACCGCACCAATAGGCTCAAGCGAGGGGGCTTTTTTTTAACGCGGATTCACGGTGTGCATATTGAGTGGACGAAAACAACCATGGCATGAATCGCATTCGAAAGGGCGGCTCTTTCGAATGTCCGCGCACATGTCCGCGCACGCCGAGCAGCAATCGACGTCTTGTCATGAAGTTGAGGAGACAGCCTTGAGGAACCTATTGGCCGCGAGATCCAGCCGCCGCCTGGAAGCAACTGGCCAAAGTGGTGAAGTGTGGATTTCTCCATGCGTCGTCTGCTAGCCACGTCGTGCTTCTATGTGCGTGTACGTCATGCATATTCTCCAAGTATGGTTTGTCCACTCATGTAAGCGCTAGTGTAACTGTTTATATGTATGCTTGAAATGATGTACGAAAGCATTTGGTCTTGCTCAGCTGCTAATGCAATTGTAATAAGAGAGGCAAGTGGAACTTTCCAGAGTGCTGTTTACTGTCGTCGTACCCTCCATTCAGCAGAATAATTTCAGAGTGAGTACCGTTTTCTGTTTCAGGCACATGGCAAAATGGTCTTGGCATCCTCCCAAACATGCGGACTATTAAGTGGTGTGTGAGCGCAGCGTTTTATAGCGACTCGGTTGTAAAAAAAAAAAAAAAAGAAAGAGGATCTACGCCATGCACTTGCGCATTGTTAGTAGGTGAACAACTACGGCACTGTAGTTTACCGATCATGCGAAGAGTAAACTGTGACGCATTGATACTTAAACTGTTTATAAAACAGAGTTACAGTGCGCAACCACGTGCTTAGATTTGAAAACCCTTTAAAGAGCCCAGACGTTGAAAATTAATTCAGACGGCATGCCTTACATGTAATGTCGTCGCAGTCGGGATTCAATCCTGCAACCTGCGGGTGAGCAGCAGAGTACCTCAGCCACTATACCACCACGGCTGGGCCGGCCTTTAACATCACGGGAGAGTTATATGCAAAGGGGAATGCTTTTTCTCATCATCAGGGGTTTTGAAGCTGTAAGGCTTATTTAATGACTTCGGTTACCGAGAACCAATTTCGAAAATTCTTTTTGTCTTAATTTCAGTATTTGGCACTACAACTCCAGCGCCGTGTAGGGTATGCGAAAAAAGGGTCGCAGGGCCCCTTTAAAAAACATGTCCCATGGCTTAAATGCACTAAGTAGAGAAAATTTTAAGACATAATTTACCACTTATAACTTGCACCCTAGAGCTATTCAAATTTTGTTACTATTTAAGGTTGCTTCCACCTCATTTTAAACCAAAAAAGAATTTGTAGTTTGTGTTTTTGAAAATGTGTAATTAATATATTGTGCACATTTTTTTTAAACAGTTGAACCCCTTTGTAAGAGGCATGCACCTTTTATCAAACCCTATTTCAATGGGGCACACTGGCGTCAGTTATACCCAGTTGTCAGTAACATCAGTGTTCCTTATAAAGATGTTTAACTATAATACGAGATGTATGCTATTCAAACGATTCTAATTTCGATTAAATTACTATCTGATTTGAAGCTTAAGTTGACTATTTGGCCATCAATAAATTTTTTACATTGAGTTATCGGTAAATTCATCAATTTCAACTGACTGTATGCTTCCTATAGTGTTCCTTCAAGTGATAGAGTACCCAAAAAAAAAAAAAAAAATGCTGACCTTCTTCCCGGTCAGCCGATTGATCACAGAGACATTCTCATCTCCGGTGAGGCAGTGCGGATCCAGCTTGCTAGGGTCCAACCGAGGTCTCCTGCCCCTTCGCCTTGACTCGGGCAACTCGAGCAACTCCAGCTGCTATATAAAAAAATTATCAAAAGAATACCACGTTACCAGATGATCCAATCAACCTAGAAAATAAAATACACGAGACAGCAAAGAGAATAAAGGAGAGGAGGCCAACTTCACAACTGAACACTGTGTTCCCGCTAGCTTTAGTATGTTTGTAAATGAGGACATTGCCATCGTAAGTGTGTCTAAGAAAAAAGAAATGAAGCTTTCGTGTCAGAATGACAGCACATAATTTAGTTGTTCTAATTAACCGGCTAAAGCACTACGAGTAAAAGAAAACATCATATGCTAATAGTGCTCATTTGTGTAGTATGCCATCCTACGTTTTTTTTTTCATTTTGTAAAAACTTTTTCATGTGAAACATGTAACCTTTTACCTGTCAGTGTCTCTGTTATACCACTTCCAAGCTTACTTTTTCCAGATGTGATGTTGTATATTTTTATAACTAATTTTTTTTGTAACATTTGGTAGCCAATTAGTAATGCATGCACTGTTTCATGATTTACTGTATTCTGTTTTCTGCACTACTTGTTCTTTTTTCCTTTTTGTTCTTTATTCATTTTTATGTAAGTTTAAACTCCACTGTAATGAATTGCTTTGTTTTCAGATTCCTTGAAATTTACAGATTAATGTTCAAATGTCTTTATATCTGTGCTCAGCAAATTTTTGATGCCAAAAAAAAGAGGGGGGGAGGGGCGGGTTGACAGCCTCGTCAAGCTGCTAACAATACAACCTTTTGCCCTTATCCTTGCATTTTTTCTCTGCCAGTTTTGTAAAGAAATGCCTAATAAAGTTCAATTGGAAATGGAATAGTATTTAACAAGAGCCCCATGTCTATTTTTGCGCCTTGCAGAATGTCAGTGTAATATCACCAGCTATGGAGGAATGAAAAAAAAAAAAACAACAACACATATTCGGCTGAACATCATCGCAACCTTCAATTTGCTCAAATGAAGTTATTGCCTCATTTTATATCACAGAAGCCAGAATTTCCGTTTAGTAATGGCCTGACATTACTGAGGTTCTCAGCAGCGTAAATGATATTAAAGGGTTACTGACATCCTTTTTTGAAGCCGAGTTTACATGGCCACATGAATTCACTGAGTACAAAGATTGCTCTGAAGAAGTGCAAGGCTCAGCAAAAGCCGATTAGATATTTCATTTTGGCATTTAAGTCTTAGTTTCTCATGGTGAACCTACTGACATCGACACTCCCTTGATATTGTGCTACAGTATGAATTCTGGCTATGTGACATACCGATAGAGCAAGTTACATTCAAAATGGCCACTTGTGCATCACCAACAAGACACAGAGCGAAGCTGCCATAAAAGCTTCTCTACATCTTTTGTGAGCACATAACAAGCTCATGTCGTGTCAAAACTTCGGGGTCCTGCTGAAGGAGAACCCTGCGTGCGCTTATGCTTCTACTGAAATGCCACGACTTCATATATTTTTTTCTCTCTCCCTCTCTTGCAGCGTTACTGCCCGTGCAAAGCAGAAAACCTCGCCTTTGACTGCACGGCCTGTGCACAGTGGCACCCAACACCTTTTGCGATTCTTGTACTGGTAGCTCACAGTGAGAAAACTGCTACTACGACTCACAGTACCGGTCCGACTTCAGTAGTTCACTACCGAATTCAGAATAACCATAGTAAAGATTGCCAGCAACTAAATATAAAGCCCCAGCGAACCACCAAAGTGAGGCCGACTGAACGCTGGTACGGGCTGGCTGCTCAAATCCCCCAAAGGACAGTTATGTCGGCTGCTACATGGCGGCGCCACGATCTGTTAAGGTTGCAAATTAAACACTATGCCACGCTGAAGTTGTGAAAGTGCATTTTTCCTAGCAAATACTGATCAATTTTTGGCTGTGTTTTAGTAAGTCTCGATTTCTTTGTGTGTGTAGGTGACGAAAAGGCGGTATTATTCCATTGTGCTAATTTGGTTCGTTGCGCGGCACTTGCGAGTGCACCGGTATGTTTAATGCGCGTTCTGCAGGTCTTTATGTGCGGGCATAGTGTTTTTCAAAAACACCAATTGCCGAGGACACCCAAATGAGTATGCGAAGTGACTCGGCAATTTCGTTGCAATGTTCCCATTTCCTTATTTGTTTGCTAACGCACAATGCATGTCAGAATGGCATGCGAGCCTGAAAAGCATGGCCTTCGAAATGCGCGACCTCGTGAAGAATCTTTGGTCTTTTTGGTTTTAAAACGCACATCTCATAGGCTACGCTTTTTCTAGCGTTCCGCATTGAAGCAGCTGATAGCAGCGGCTGCCATGTACAAAGGCGCAAGTGACATCGATATTGCCAACATGTCAATGGTTGTCTTTTGCTCCATCTGGACTTGCGTACTTCTTGCCAAGTTCGTAATAAATCCTCATTTGGGAGTTGAACTGAACATTGCCCCACACGTAACGATGAAAATTACGACTGGTGCTTAGAGTGACGTCAAGTAAAGCAGCGTCGTTAACTTTCTTTGTGGGCCAGGTGACGAATTCGGGCATGTCAAAACTACTGAGAACAGCACACGGTGCCTCAGCGAATTCTGTGACAGCGTTTCCTGGCACATTCTTGAACAGTGAGCGACCTCATCGATGCAGATGACGACATAGTTGTTTCTGACTGCATCGATGCAGAGATCATGGCTGCCGTTGCCGCGTAAGTGTACCCGTGTGGTTATGATAATGTCAATGCCATCACGACCACCGCTAAACAATCTTTTGCTGTGCTACAGAGCTTTCATCAGAATTCTGCATCAATCAACGCTCCTGTGGCAAAAGGAACTGAATTCGCTTATTTGAAAAGCTTAAACGACATTGAGGATGATTAGAACATGATGGAGCGCAAGAAGCAAGACAAGTTTATGGACTATTTTCATGAAAAATAAAGAGCAGTAATTTGCAGTTCACACTTTATTTTTCATTACACTGTGAGCAAATTATTACATTAGCGCTTGCAATGACTTATGAAGCCGAGAATGCTTTAATTTAGGTCTTAAATATGCAATTTTTTAATTTTGAATTATCGATATTTGAACTAATTTGCGATCTACTTCGAGTTCATATATCCAGGATCAACTGTAGTGGAAAGCTGAAATTCGTTGTGATTATTTGACAGATATCCCATGGTGTTACAAAGCCATTTTTTAATATTTCTGATGAGCGGTCTTTGAGATTTAGATTTCTTCAGCACCACAGCTAGCAAAAAAATTCATTCTGAGAAAACAGGCCCAAAAAAAGTGAACACTTGCGTTTTCATCAGAAAACTTTCGCAGAATAGCTAGAAGTGTTTTTATGCACTCTTTTCTTCTTTCGCCTTGTCTGCATCTTCTTTTGGAGTTGTTTGTAATTTATTTTTAGCCACAAAGCATCGAAGTGCGGGTCCAGCGATCTTGGAAACACTCATTGTCAAGCTCAATAGCGCTAATTCGGAACACGTACCAAGTCTGATGATCTCAGAAACACTCAGTGCATTTGTGGCTCCAGCCACATTCGATGCACCAGATTCTTGACTAGCGACAGCTGACAGTACAGTTTCGCTGCTGCAAGCGTCTACGCAGTCAGCACTCGCAGAATAGCGCGTCTCCGCGCAAAGGACCTCCGCACTGTCCTTGACTTTGCTACCAGCATCGCATGCAACAACAAAAACCAGGAACACATAACTAGTGCAAAAAGAAATAAAGAAGAGAAACTGATCGAAAAGATAGATCAAGAAAAAGAACAGCTCAGCAGACATCGGTCGAGACGAACGGAGCAGAGAGAAATCACGGGGCGAGTGCACACCATCGAAGGGAGCGACCACCCGAGCTGCTGCGCAGCAGCCAATGGAAGGCGCGGCGCACTTTCTCCTGGGATATATAAATGCGCTGCTTTAGCCGATCAGCGCTCTGCATTGCTTTGCAGAAAAACGCCAATAGAATCTAAACCATGCCACTAACGGCATTTTGCAAGACAGCAAACAAAAGAGAAAAAGGATTCACGCTCAAAACACCAATATGGCACAGAATGACCGCATGGTCTGGGAATGACGAGTGTGCAAAGTGTAGGTTGATTTTGGCATTTTTTGCGCGTTTTGGATGCTGCCGTGTCCTCGAAAATTGCATTTTTTTCACCTTGCAGTTAAATTAGATGTTGATTATTACAGAAAAGGTAGTTTATGAAACATACAACCCATAATATGATTCTCCAAAAGTCAACTTTTTCGCAATATTTCGGTTTTCAAAAGCCACATCCCCCTTAAGCTAAGGATAAATCTTTATGATACTAATTCCAGAAATGCACTTCTTTGATTACATTAACACAAGAAATACTCACATGGCTCGACAGAGAGGGCATAGGCGAAAAGGCCATGGCTGCTGCAGCGGCTGTCAAACTTGGGTGGCTGGCCATCAGCTCAGGATGGTCATCCAGCCAGCGTTTGAGGTCCTGATGCATGGCTGCTGCCGCCGAGGCCTGCTCTGCCGCCTGCTGCTGCTGCTGCTGCTGTTGCTGAAGGGCTGAAGAGCCACCGCGAGAATCCACAGCCTTGTTCGCGCCAGGGAGGCTAGTAGCCACGCTGCTCAGACTGGGAATGTCTGCCATTGAATTGAAAGAAAAAAAAAATTATTAACACAAAGAACTACCATGGCCCGAAATTATGAAGACCACAAATACATAAACTTGAATAGCCACAGAAACTTAATCTAACTTCGTCACAATTAAGACCCAGAGTTTAGCAAAACATTAATTATACATCATCTTAGGGGGGGGGGGTGCCTCATGTGAGGAAAAAGACGAAAAAAGAAACACAGCAAGCGCACAAGACAAGTACGAGTGAAAAGCCCAGATTCCCGATAACAGGAGTGTTCCCATGGACTTGCACTATCCATTGCTCATATTTACTCTTTAAAGCTTATTATGAATACCAGATGGAACTGCATTTTCCACACTGCTTCATCGGCCCACATAAAAAATCAGAAATGTGCAAACACCACTACATTAAGAAAAAACATGTTCTTCCTTTGTTAACGATAATGGTGGTGTACTAACGCTATCACGACCAAGCTTATGAGTACACTCAACCCTTGATACAACAAACCCGGATATAATGGATATATCGGTCATAATGAAGTGAATAGGTATAGAGTTAGGAATACAGTGCAGACCACTTGTAACATAACCGCTTTTTGCGCAGGACCGGTTATAACGCGGGTTTTTTTGACCACCGATATGTCGCCCATAGAACTCAATGTATAGGCTGACCGTTTATTGCGTAGGCGCGCGAAGGAGAATACCGGTTATAGCGCGGAGTTTTTAGGCGCGCGACCATAAAATCGGCGAACAGAGCACGGTCAGCACGGTTTCCCGGCGGCGTTCCCGGCGCGCCGGAACGTTGAAAGAGTGAGCGGGAGGGCGCACATAGAGACCGCCGCGAAAAGTCAAACATTGCGGAGGAGAAGAGAGGGTACAGTAGGGAGGTAGTCGGGGAGTTCTTGGAAGGAGGGAGTGTGTTTGCGTCACCGTGGCGACCGTGGCAGCGTCCAATCCGGGTGCGCGCTGCACGGAGTGGGGGAGAGAAGTGGTAGCATGCTTTTTTTTTTTTCTCAACCTCCTTTTGCCTCTTTGGATTTGCTGTGTGCGCTTCGCCGTGTTGTTGCCGTCTGAGAGCCCAGAGCACGTGTGTTGCGTAGCTCTTGTCACCATGGCGCCGGCGGCGTGTTCAAGCGGTGTGAAAAAACGCCGTGCCTTAATGCTGGAGATTAAGGAATGCGTCATAAGGGACATTGAGAGTGGCCTGAAGAAGGCGTCGGTGGCGGCGAAATACGGCGTTTCCGACACGACCATGTCAACCATCTACAAAAACAAGGACAAACTGCGGCAGCAACTGCAGCAAGATTCGTCTTCCCTGTCACGGAAGAGAATACGTATGTCAAAATACGAAGACGTGGACGCAGCGCTGTTCAGGTGGTTCCGCGAAGTTAGGGCTCAGAGCATCCCAGTAAGTGGCCCCATGCTCCAACAAAAGGCTAAGTGTCTCGGAGCTCTTTTAGGCCACGACGACTTCAATCCACTCAACAGGTGGATTCAGCGTTTCAAAAATCGCCATGGCATCAGCTGCTAAGTGGTGTGTGGAGAAAGCGGCGCTGTCGACGACGAGTCTATCGAAGCCTGGCTTCGCTTGAACTTGGAGAGTATGCTGTCAACATATACTGACAGAGACATTTATAATGCCGATGAAGCTGATTTATTTTATAACCTTTTGCCCGACTGCACGCTTGCGCTGACAGGCGAAGCCTGCTCCGGCCGCAAGGTCTCAAAGGAGCGCATAACTGTATTGTTTTGCGCTTATTTGGACGGGAGCGACAAGCCCCGCCTCTTTGTCATAGGTAAATCGGCAAGGCCACGTTGCTTTAAGAAGCGAGAGTGCCTGCCAGTGACCTACAAAGCCAATAAAAAGGCGTGGATGACGCAGGATTTGTTCACCAGCTGGCTTTGCAAGTTTGATGAGGATATGGTGGCAGAGAACCGGCGGGTCGTGCTTATTCTCGACAACTGCACGGCCCACAACGTCAAGCCGAAGTTGACCGCAGTCAACCTAAAGTTTTTGCCTGCCAACACTACAGCAAAAAGTCAACCTCTCGACCAGGGTGTCATCGCAACCGTAAACGCGCTGTACAAAAAGCGCATTTGCGAGAGAGTTCTGCTGAGCATGCAGCAGCAGCAGCCTCTTAAAGTGAACTTAAGAGGCGCAATTGACATGGTGGCAGGTAAAGGCCGATACCATAAGCAAGTGTTTCAAGAGGGCAGGCTTCGTGCGCAATGCAGAGGCTCTGGAAGACGATGAGCAGAGCGACACGTCGCTCGCCGATGAGACCCTCAACACTGACGACATGTGGTCCTGCCTCGTTGACAGCAACTTCGTAACCACCACCGACACTTTCCAAGAACTTGTCGATGCCGGGGAGCCGGAGCTTTCTGTCTGCGAGGAAGCGAGCACAGATGACGTGATCGTCGCAGCGGTGCGGGGTAGTGCGGAGGTTACAACGGACGACGAGTCGGACGGCGAAGACGATGCCGACCCGACGCCAGAACCAGATTTCCCGTGCAAAGACGCATTGGAATACCTCGCTAAAGTGAAAACGTACTGCGCGAAAAAGAGTTTGAGCGAGAAATCGCTTCAGTGCTTAAGCTTTGTGGAGGATGAAATTGTCCGCAGCACTGTTCGCAAGCATCGCCAGATGAAAATAACGGCGTTCTTCCGCTGATGCCGGACTTGAGAACTTTGTTTCCGTGCGGTGTTGTGATTGTGTGGAATGTGTCTGCGAGTGGAAAGTGTAGTAAATTGCTTTTGAAAGGTGGGTTGCCCTTTTGACATAGGCAAAGGCCGAAAAAAGGATGCTTTGGTTATAACGCGGTACCGCTTATAGCGCGGATTTTTACAACTCCCGTGACTTACGTTATAAGCGGTCTACACTGTATACCTTTATAATAAATTTTGAGGTAAAACAAACTTATTTTTGCGTTAGATGCAACCTTGTTATAATGAAGTTTGAGTGTAGATGCAGATTGAACAATCGATCTCGTAGTTACTTTACTGTGCCCTACAATGAAACTTTCATCAAAAAGCAGACAGGAACCACAGATGCTGCGATGTGCGGCTAGCCAGCAATCACTACCATTCTTGACATTGTTGCAGAGCAAGCCTTCCCGTGGAGTGAGGCACCACACCGTTCACCTTACAGATTTACCACATGGGATATGTATCTGCTAAATTGCTGAATAGGCTAGGCCAAATTTGCATTAGTACACTATAGCTATCTTTAACAAAGAAAGAACTACCATATTTACTCGCGTAATGACCCTCCCCTCCATCCTGGTCCTTAAAAAGTAAAAAAGTTGTTTGAAGTGTATCTTTTATTTCGGTATGATAGCCAGTGCCATGGATGATCGAAACAATGTTAAATTGAGCCATTACATCACAAAATAACGACGCAATAAAAGTCAAAACACAGTTTCGCAACCTTGATAAACAGTTGCGAGCAACGCGAGTGCAGAGGACATCAATCAAAATTTGAAAAGTGCACCTTCTGCGGCAAAGCGTCATCTGTCAAATGCAGGAGAAACCACCTTGCATGCAAGCACAGCAGCACGAAAACAAAGAGAAAACAAAGTGCATGGCCTCTTAAATGGTGTGCCCGCTGCATGCCATGGACCTGCAACGTTTACGCCATGCGACGCTGCATTTTACAGCGAAAGCTGTGATGAGATCAGAACACAGGTCTCGTGCGGCATCGTAGTTGTCTGCCAGCGGCGGCGTCGATAACTAATATCACAAGAAATAAAAAACCCAATAAATAAAAATCACAAAGGACACAATGGGATTCAAAACCGGGTCTGCTGTGTGCCAGCCCAGTATTTTACCACTGAGCCACACCGGTGCTTGAAACTCACTTCCAAACTGGCCTAAGGCAGGCTGAGTAATGAAGCGTTTTGAGCAATAAAGGGTTTTAGAACATCAAAGGAACAACCAGGCGTCACACAATGCAAATTGTGCGAAGAGTGGGCCGTCCAATGATCCAATTTATTACATAACCTTGTTCTTCTTTACCTATTAACTGTGGCGCATACCCACTCTAGGCATAATTCCTCATCATCATCAGCGACTTCCTAAAAATATTGCACAATATTCCTAGCAGGTGTGTAGTGGATACCACGCATCTCCGAAGAATGATGAAGGATAGCATAGTGAATGCCAGCCTACCACACAAAAATTATGATTATTTATGGCAGAGTGATTGCCCAGCAAGTGCATTTGTAGCAGTTACTCAAGAGTGTTAAGAAAAGGCTCTGAAAGAGTGCTTTTAAACCTTTTGCTGCGACAGTGCTGTGCGTTCCACGCAGGCCTGACATTTTTTGTTGTTGAGTTTGTCTTTGTGAACTTCAGTGAGACACCTGCTGCACAGGGCATGTTTGGCAGGTACGCTAGCTACACGGCTAGTTTTAAACTTAAAGTTGCTCGAGCATGTGCTGGAGCATGGGAACCGAGCGGCTGGACGACACTTTGGCATTGATCCGAGCGCTTTCGTTACGGGAGGAAACAAGAAGAGCTTCAGGCTACAAAAAAATTCGGCGTGCATTTAAAACAAGCAAAAACATCATGCAAAATTTTCGCTGTTATAACTCCTGGCACTTTTTTTTCTCCCGTGTAACTCCTGGCACTTTTTTTTCTCCCGTGTAATTAAACCTCTCCCCAAGTTGGCGTCAACTTTTTTGAAAAAAGGTGGGTTCATTACGTGAATAAATATCGTATTTTTCCTAGATGCCGGTCTGCCTGTGCATGCCCGAGTTGTGTTTTATGTATAAATGCATTTGATCCAGGTTACAATAAATTATTTTGGAAAGCTACCACTTGCATATATGCCTCTTTTTTTTTTTTCCATGTCTTCACAATACTCTGTGCTAAACCCCATGAATATGTCTCACCAACAATACTTCTTGCAAATGTTCTCGCCAACCCAACATCATTATACTGCTTCTCCTGTCATCTTTTCCACCATTAAAAATACTGCTTTGTTACTTACTTCTATTGCCTCTC